TTGGTACGTCAATTATATATTCTGGGCTTGATTCGTTACTCGTTGAATATGTTATCGTTTAAAAATCAGGAATCAAATTGTCGCAGTGTAGGAGATTATGAATTCTTCACCGATTCAATATTTTTGAGTAAATATTGAATCTCAATGGATGTGCGAATTGAAATAGAATTTATTCTTTTGTTCTTTCGTTTTATCATCGGCCTTTTATTTCTATTGTCCTTCTGATCCAATACTTTTTAATATAATTATAGTACTCTCGTAATTTTCAAGTAAAATTTAGATTAAAAAATAGAGATCCACGGTTTTTTAATTTATTGATATTCAATCGTAAACCATTTTTTACCGAATTTGTTCATTTTTATGGAAAAATGTTTTGAGGATAAAAAAATAAAGATATAAAAAAATAAATATAAAAAATAAATGCTTACTGGAAAATGAAGTCAGAGCATTTACAGCGGTTAAGGTTGACACGCCGACGATACCCGAATTTTTGTATTCGAATATAGTCGAGAGATAATGCCAAATATTTGACCCGTGTTCTTTTCCAAATGTACAAGTTGGGCCATAATCGTTATTTTTATTAATGTAAAATTATTTGATCTTAATCAAAATTCGTAATATTAGAAATACCAACTTAATAAAATAGTACGGTATCCATCGTACTGAACGCAATAGTCGGCAACACGCGTTTAAAATAATAAAACAGAGGTTCGTTAAAGGCACGCTAGAGACATATACCAGAGGACGTTTTGTTACCATTGGGAAATTGTTATTATACACGGAACTTTTACGATATTATCTTCTGTAGGCTATGAATAATGAATTTATCATTCGGAAATGTTGGATGAATTTAAACACGTTTCAATTTGTTACGATACTGTTGTGATTTATACTAATATATTATGGGAACGTTCGACACGAACGAAAATGTTCGACATTAGAAACACGAAAGAAAAGTACATGATTTCCTAAGGTTCCGTGTGGACGTTCTTATGATTTACATTAAAAATCTGCATCATTAAGTACTTTTCTTCTAAGTTGTCGTTCTATTAAAATTGATATTTAAGAATTACTTTTAGTGCGTTTACTCGGAGTTCTACTTGGTGTTCAAACTATTTAGTCCTTTGTAACCTCACCTTTTCATCCTTTCGGGAATTGTGAGATGGAAATACCTGCGATGGAAGTTGAAACGAATGTAGGTTATTGTGAACAAGAAAGAAAGAAGAAAATTCTTTTCTATGCGTAAAATGCTTTTCGCCTCGTGTGCTTAATAAGGAACTACGTTGAATTAATTAGTTTTTTATGCTACATCTTTGTATAGTTACTTCATCGTCAAATTCTGGTAACCAGTTACCTTATCGTAATTATTTTCTTATAAATACCACGCTATTATGTTCTTATTTCTCTTTTTTCGTTCTTTTCCTGCGCTCCTTTTTCACGATAAATGCTTAAGGGCAACGGTTTCGTGATATTATGATCTTTTATTAATTACTTAACGTGAACCAAGTATCGCTTCATACGATACATTATTATACACGAGTCCATTAATTATCTCGTTAGTACCTGCAAGTTATAAATCGAAGTAAAAAAAGTTCCATCAAAGTATGCGCAGAGAGATAAAATATTATGCACACGGCGATTTTATTGATGTTTAAGAATATAGATTCATTCGCATGTCACATTTTCAATAGAGTCGAATCATATCTCTGAGGCTTTTCATTTCCGTACATATAGAAGCTACTCAGACGCGCTGTTGAATTTTTAATTAACCCAGTTCATCCTGTAGATACCATCACTACACTCGCGCTATTCTAGCGTTAATTTAGAATATCCTAATGAGATCGAATCGCCCACCTAAGATTATCGTTCGGAATGAAATACAAGATAAAGATTATCTTATTATATCGTACATCGTATCGTGCGTTTACTACGCGTACGCAATATATACGCATAGTTAGCTGGTTTCCATAAATTTCATCGAAACTACTTGTATTCCTTTTGCGCTTGCTTCATCCGTCTGGCGAATAACTAATCAATTCTACGCAATTAACGAAACCTTGACGTGTTTGTTGCGTTTTTAAATATATCTTATTATTACATGTATTTATGTGTATGCATCTTTAACTTCGAATACGAGATACGCTGTGAAAAAATTTTTCAATTTCGACAAAATTCTATTTGAGATATAGAAGTGTCTTTAATAATGCATAGAACCTTGTACGAAAGAAATTCACCTTTTGGTCCCGAAAACGACACATGATTTTCTTAATATAACAAACAATGACGTTTCACGAACTTAATATAAAAACTTGATCTACGGATATAAGCATAATCGAAAGACGCTGTGCATCATAAATTAATCATAAAATATTTGTTACAGGATCTTGTTTAGAGTATGGACATTCGTGTTGGGGAGGTACGTCTTCGCTCATCTTTATTTAACTACAAGGACATTTTCATTGGAATAAAGTCTTCGCTAGTCTTTTGATATTTCTGACAATATACGAATTTACGAAGTAGCATCACGATTTCGTTCCATAGAAACCGTATTTTACACAAATTCATCAGACAGATGAATAAAATTTACATTTCAATTTAGGAAGTAAACGAGCTTCCTTCTGCGTTCTTAATACAATGATTTCCACGAAGTAAAATATGTATAACTTTTTGTAACGTCGTTTATTGTCTAAAGCGATAAGACCCTTTTGCCTGTCTACGATTTTTTATTAATTATTTACCAATTCCAACTAAATAGTAATTTAATATATTGCTTGAACGTATTGCCACGCTATTTAACTTTCTTTTGTCGTGATTACAGGTCATGGGAAACGAAGCGGAGGGCATAGCAACGCATATTTAGTACCGTCAAAAACATCGAACGAAATACAACAAGAGATACCGTCGCTTACAAAAGAACAATTCATACTTTCCCGTTTGATTGATCGACCATCGATACCTAATAAATACAAAGCAAGATGGGACAGACTTCTCAAACTAAAAACTAGTTTTCCAGAGAGTTGGGATGGTGATGCGTTTAACGCGCAACTTATTAGCGATGGACCCAGTCGGTAAGGAAAATATACGTAAAGGTAGACATATAACCGTAACGATTTAGTACACGAAGAAGAGTACTGGTACTTTAATTCTTAACTTCCAAATGACGATTTTGAATCACAAGTGGCCTGTGATATTTTGAGTTCAGTTACTATAAATTTTAGAGTATCTTCTTCTAATTCGGCTAGCTTGTATCTTATGCGATGAATATTGGAAATATTTATCGCTAGCGTGATACACAAATTTTCAATTGAAAGAGATGAAAATAGACAGATAGTTTCATCGAAAATCTCCTTACACTAGTTACTTTCGATATGTTAATCATGATTATGATAATTGTAATATACATATAAGTCGTAGATTACCGGTAAGTAGTGTAAATTACAATTATTCGTGTTATAAGACACTATAATTTCTTATCTATTACTCGAAAGTTCTTTCGCCTTGATTTATCTGATTGCGTTAACGTTCACAGGGATCAAAATAATAACGAAGACATGAATCTGGGAAAAAGGAAACAAACCAACAACATGCAAGATATAACTGGAAATACCAACGGCGAAAGGAGGGAAATTCCTGAGATATTATTGATATCGAATAACGAGGACAATCAACATGGTAGTAAACCACAGAACGTAGAGTTGTTCAAGTTTCTGGTGAATTGATTCGCTATCATGAACCTCTATGATATATAAAATTCTACATAGCTATAACACAGGACTCTACGTATTATTATGCATAATTAATTACATTATTTTCATTTGCAGAGTGATACAAACGGTGATTTCGAATAAAACAACCGAGCATTACTATAAAACACATATAATGTAAAATAGAAATTGTCATAATCGTATTGTAACTGGACTAATAAGAATATTATTTAAGCTAATTTATTAGAGATTCTGTTTCTCGAATAAAGATCAGACGACTGTCCTATCTAACTTAACGTATAAACCTTAATTTTATCTTTTAAACGCATATGTAATTAATTCCAATCCTAATCAAAATGCGAGCAAAAATAATTTTTCTATTGTTCAATGATAAATTAAATGTCATAATTTGAATTGCAATTAAATAGGATAAATAAATAATTGTTTTTGGCTTAATTATTTTGTAATTATTTACATTTAATGTCTGTAAGAAGTAGAAACGTAAATAATAACAAATAAAATAAATGCTGATAATAAATCTGTTTATTTCGTGACATTTTTTTTGTGGTCGCTATAAAAATTGAGATAGAATACAGACAGCTCTTAGAAAATAATGAAAATACAACAAACAAACGACGAAATCTTCCATAAATTATGGACATATCGATTAATCGTCCGGAGTATGTTTATATTATACAACTTAATTGCTACTGCACAGCTGCTTTAGTCGCATTCATTTATCATTATGTTTTTCTCAAAATAATTCAACTCCTTAACCTATGTATACCAATATACATATATTCGTTTGAAAATCAACAAGTTGATATTAATTATGAAACAGTCTAACCATCTTCTACGACATTCGTGTCAAAATGCTTGATAAATTAATTCACAACAAGTGTTAGGATTAACAGACTGTGGAAAGAGAAGATGAAAACTGATACCCAACTGTTATAAATAAATCACTTGATATCGGAATAGTAACACGTGTAATATACGATGTATAAGGTAGAATAGCGCAGTAATAAATGGTTGAAAGAAAATTTACAAAATACAATATGAACATGTATGTATATAACTTCCAAGTCACATAGTGTTATAGAGAGATTTTAAGATTGTAGAGATTTAAGATTCACGTCGCATTAAAATACATTAAATAAAATAAACAATCATTTTAAGGAATAACATTTTATTCGTTCTACTTTATGCTTACATATCATTCAATTCGAACGTTAACAATTATATTAAACAATTTAATGTTAAAACGAATATCCGCGAATATAAGTGGAAGTACTAAAGTACAATAGTTTCTATTTATTATTTTCGTTCGATGCAAACAAAAATAAAATACACACATGCTACATATTAACGAATCGTTAAAGTAAAATTCATCTTACTTGTGAAGTATAAGGAAACGTAACATAAAGAATTGGTAAAATTATAATACGATAACAGCCAAGATACTTCGTTAAAATATTTTCACTTATCAATTTCACATATTTTTGATATCTAATATTTTCCAAATTCTTCGTTTCGAATTCAAAGTATAATAGAAACGCTTATCCGTTTATTTGTTATTAAGCTCCACGTCCGGCTGATGAAGGCGATGTTGCGACGTCAACTGCAATTATTAATTGAATCGTTAGTATCATCGATCAATCGAGTTCTTTAGTTCCTTACGAATAAAGCGTGAAAACGAATGAACGATGCTTTTATAAACTTAATATTTCCGTAACATTTAACAATTCATCTTTTAACAAGTTCATCCTACACTTAAGTTACGATAGTTACGATTTGAAATTGATATTATATGCATTATGCATTGATATTACATATTGCATATCGTCATTATACAAGATTACCAATTTCATAGCAAATAACGAAAGAAATATACTGTACGCATAGTAAGACGTTTTACATAAATAGATTTTCGGACGACGAAGAATCTATCGTATAAAATGAAATTTGCTTACACTATTTATTACTATCGTTAAATCTCGTATTAATTCAGCTTACTATGCTTCTCCGCTTATTCGTTAAACCCATAATTCATTCGTTTAATTATTCTAAGAAACAGTACCTTTAATAGTATTTGCTAGAATAATGTGAAACTAACGTTTATATAAAGAACGTTTGAAATTTAAATGAGGAAAAGGGAGGAAGACGAACGAGGAAGGAAGGAAGAACATAAACGGAAATAGAAGTGTGACTTAGGGAGAAGCTTGATACTCTGATCCAATCCCGCGTCTAATTAGCATACAAAACCACTATAGACAGTATAAAAGTTACAAAGGAAGGTGCCGAAGAAAGTTAACTTTTTAATGAGGTTTTGCATAACGATAGAACTTAAAATACTTAAGTTACTGGATGGGTACAAGCGAAGGTATAGTTTTACAACGGAAGATCTTCAGATAAAAGATTCGCGCTTTAACCAAGTTCCGCAACTCGATAGTACCTGCATTGTTCAAGTTACTGATAGGTTACTATTCATTCGTTTTTGCTTTTTCATGAAATCAAATATTTGCATACCCATTGTCGAACGATGAACGACAAAGTGAAAGGGTCGAATCTCGTAGAATCCTGCCTACGCGTCTGAGGAAGAAGCATCTCTTCTTGTCCTTCGAACTTCCTCCCAGGAATAACGAACTCGTTACGCATTCGTAGAGGTTCCATTTCTTGATGTTTGTCGCTGGTAGCCGCGTCTATTTGATTCTCTTGAAGAACGTTGCCCTGTAAATGCGAATCGAACCTCTTGCCGTGTCCACCGAAACAGGAATGTCCGAACGCGGAACAACCACCTGTTAAAATGGAAACGAGATTACTTTTACAATTATGAAATTTAACATACTAAACTAATTTAAGAGAAGAAATGATTAAATCAAATACATTTATGATGAAAGACATTTGTCATAAAATATAGTTTACCATTACAGTCTGCTCCTTGTAGTTTACATAAATGTACAGAAATATAAATGTTACTTTTAGAATATGATATACAGTTACTAGAATTCTAACGTACGTTCGTTCGACTTAACAGTAGAAAATAGCTGCGGTACTTCTCTAACCCGTAACAGACCATTTAACTATTGTTTAATTTGAAAATACTCGACCGTATTTTACTATTTTATAACTATTTCCTTCCTCTGGTATCCAGGTTTATACCTTTCGCCAACGAGAGCAAACTTTTTATCGGACAAAGTGTCAAACCATCGACGAGCATCGTAAGAACATAATTTGTATCTCAGCTTATTTTTGGATGTAAAAATTTCGTTAGATTTAAGACAGCGTATTTGCAAAATAAAAGAAAACGCGTATCGTACGGAATGCCAAACTATTAGAAGCTGATAAACGGAAGCGTAAAATCTAATTTCACTTTCAAATTTACTTTCCTCCTTCCGTGATACGAAGTGGAAAAAATAAATGCTTTTAACGGATCACGAACGGGAATTCGTAATATGGAACCTTCGAAATTGATTCTATAGAACGTGGAACAAGAAAGATTTTATACTTTATAGAACATACATAGCTATATGATCCATTTTAGTAATTAATATTTCTTAGACGATGTAAAATTTGAAAATTAATGGCCCTGCAATAGACGGCAGATAAATAAAGATAAATACGTAATCCCATAAATTCGAATGTGCAGTACCATCTTTTAAGTAAAGAAATATAATCGACTACTAAGAGAAAGAGAACGAGACGAATAACACGTTTTCGACCCGTAAGCAAAAAACGTTACACGAAGAAGTAGAAAAATGCTATTCCGAAATAAACGTTTTAGCAAAAACCGAATAACTTCGCGATATAAAATATGATATACGTTGATATCTGTATACATCTTGTACTATTGCAATATACATGTCGATTTAAACGCAGAGACTCTGTCAACAGGTTGTACGATTTAATTAACAATTACACGAATCATTAAAATATTTTGAGCAACCTATTACCCCTTAACCAAGCCAACATTTACATACTACGCAAGTTTTCATTCTCTGATTGCATAATGAATGAAATTTACTCTCAATATTTCAGTCGTAAACAAGTGTCGCGTGTATGTCACACGACGTATAGTATATTCCTAATCAATTTACCTTATAGAGTTTACCAATTTTAATATAAATACTTTACGCACGATCAAACTAAAACAGGAGTACGAATAAGAAATCATAAACGAAATTGTATCACCATTCCTGTCATTCGCAACCTATTCACAAATATAAAACGTATTCCATGCCACGATGAAATAAAACGTGGTCCTTAAATAATTTAAAGTTGAATGTACCTACGCGGCATGAATCAATCGAATCTCCTGAAAGCAAATTATAAATCGAGCGGAATAGGAAAAGGAGGAGAAGAGAAAAGAAAGAAAAAAGAATGTATCGCGCGAGAGAGCAAACTAAATGACAAACTAAAAAGCGTGACACGAGACGTGATTGGCCGTACGTGATCGGCAGAAAAAATGAAAAACCAAACGAATCGAACGAGGGCTCGAACTTATTCACTCGATTATTATCTTAAACGAAGGCTGGCTCTAATCGATCAACGGTTTCGAGCTTCTTTCCCCTACCGCGTCCTGTTCGCGCGTTTTAAAAGCTTCGAAAGCTCTTTAAAGGGACTCGATCGCCAGAGAGCTCGTTGCCAACAAGGATTTTCTTTTTTTCTTACACAAAGGTTACTCTATGAATGGCAAACTACGCAGATCGCAAAAATGATTCCTCTTGCTTTTCCTTCGTTTTTAGTTAGCTACAACAAAAGGGAAGGCGAATAGAAAAATTATATAGGAATTATTTTTGTAAGAGGGCATCTACGTTCTTCTATATAAAAAGAGCTCGATCGTTTATCGTTTGACTCGTAACTTTTTTAATAGCTACATATAGTATACGATATAAAATATGAATACTTTTTTAAACAACGCGAAAGAGTCAAGGGATCGAATAGAGCGTTGAAAGTCTAGTAGATTCAAACGAAAAGGCGAAAATAATTGGAATTCTCTTCTTCGATCATACGAACAAGACTGTACTGTCTGCAGAGGCAAGCGATGGTTCACTGTCGCTCGTTTCTTTTCGTCTTTGCTAAAGGTTGCGATTGCATAAACGTGCGTTAAAGACGCGCTAAATAATAAAATATTCTAACAAAAGATATTAGTTGAAATAGGATGGAAGATTAATTTAGATTTGAGATATTCCATTTTCATTCGAAGAACATAATATCTACTATTATATAGATTTAAATTATAAGAATTTAAATGAAATAAAATTCTCGTTTAAAAATGAAAATATGGATAAGAACACTGTGAGAGGGTTTAGAAGAAAATAAACTATGATATAACGTTGATAACGAGGTAAGGAATAAAAGTACATCGAGTGGATATTAAAAATTGATAATACATAAAGTGCAGTAACTGTTATATGCAATTATGGCTTGCGTAGTTAGCTCCTTTACATTAAATTTTTAAGAAAACAGAATACAACGTCAACCGGTTGGTTCGTTATAAAACCGGTGAAATTAATAAGAGAGATACTCAGCTTCTCGCTAGATTAATTTAACTACGCTTCTGACAGTTCCTATTGCTAACATATATCAAAGTTTTCGATAAGGAATAGATAAAGTTCAAGCTGTTCACACGAATATTTGTAGAAAGGGTTGATTAACACATTTTGAACATTCTTCTTGATAAACTTCGCTTTTCTAAGTATCCTCGATAAGAGAAGAAACAACCTACACGCGCTAGATCGGATGATGTCAATGAAAATTCAACACGCCCACCTTTTTATGTCCAACAGCTGGAAAATTTTGGTATTTGATATAGCTGGAACTGCGCGATGATACTGGACATCAGAGGCAGCCGTATGTTTAAACTTGTGCGCGCTTGCTATTCGTGGAGGAGATACAGCAAAGTCATAAAATTATCGAAGAACAGCTTTTATCTATGTAAATGCGTGTCTAGATAAACTGAGCAAGTGTAGCCAGGCGAACATAACCACGTACATGTGTCTTTTAATTTAGCTTACCTACGCACACATAAAAATATTTTTTCAGAAAGGAAGAACGAGAACGAGGGACAGTGACATTTTATAGACATTTGAGTCCCCCATCGCGGGCGTATGGCAAACATTCTTACGACCATCGACGAAGATGTTTTATTCTGTCGAAGAGCGTGAATCCTTCGAAAAATCAAACGGACAAATACATGCTTTACGTGTACAGTTAGGAACATAAGTATCTTCAAAACAGAGTAAGCTTTTTAGAATTGGACCAAACGACTTGAATTTTTCTGCCGAGTTAGAAGGATTAGTTTACTAGATGGACGTGTGAAAGAAGAAGTTGAAAAGTTTTGCAGTTGGTCGGAAACAGGAAGAAAATAGTAAAGGTCACTTTTTACGAGTCTTTTATCTGTAACGAAAACTTTAAAAGTACACTTTGTAGATCTACGTTGGTTAAACACATGCTAAAAATTCCATCGGAATCGGTTACAGAAACAGGCAATGGGCATCGAAAATGAAATATATAGAAACTTTCATCGTTTCATTTTTCATCGCTTTCATTATTTTTAATCGTTTGCAACTAATAGCCACGTTAACCGATTTCGATGAAATTTTCAGATGACGCAAATCTACAGAACGTATTTTTTAAATTTTTATTTCACATAAAAAAGTTGCGGGTAGCGACCTTTACTATTTCCTTTGCGATTCCGATCAGCTACAATTTTTTCAAAATCTTTTTTACGCTTCTAACTTCTCGAAGAAAAAAAAAAAGAAAAAAATAAAAGTCGTTTGATCCAATCTAAAAAAAGAAAATTATTTTAAAGAAACTAAAAATTGTGCCAATACTTATATTTCTAATTTTATGTACATCGTACGACGTATTCTTTTTTGAACATCGATAAGCAAGAGCGGGCCGTTGAAAAGTCGAAAACGAGAGGCACGAACAACGTCCTTTCGAGTTCTGTACTTCGCGTATATGTACATTCTCACGATAAATCGTTTTTTACTCGAGCCGAGGAAAATAGAAATATTTGCGGGCGACGCGATCTCGACAAACGATTCATTCGCACTTTGTGTTTACGATCGTCGAGAAAATGCATTCCACGACTGGACAGCCTATTCTACTGGCTCCAACTGCAATTGCACGTGCGAACACGAGCGTAAACGAGGTTGGCAGCTCGCATGATTCCATTGTCTCCGGTTACGGATGCGTCAAAATGTAACGACACGTGGTAGCCTGTTTTTATTACTATTTGTACCTTGATTTATCGTGGCAGTATTTATTCGTGATAAAATCGCTATGCTGTTAAAGCTTGTTCCACTGTTTTCCAAGCACTGTTAATGTTCGCTTTTAATGCAGTCGAATGTGTTCGAAAGTGCTCTGTAACCAACCATCAGCGTTCCAGCGATCGTACGAATGTTTAACTTTTAGAAAAGGTCGGCGCATTTTTACCATATTTTTCGTATTAAATATCATCGAATCGATCGACAAGTCTCCAGTCTTTAACGAACGATTATTCTCTTCCGTATTTGTCGATTTCTATCAAATTTTGAAACGAAACGAAACGCTGAAGTCGATCAAACGCTGTTCCTGCTTAGATGCTAAAGCCAACAACTGAAATACTGTGACAGCCAGAATGGTAGAAATTTTATAGATTTACACATACATACACACACGCACGGGCGCGCACGCGGTATCATACGAACGGATGACAAAAGGAAAGCAATTATATTAACCGTGGACATTTTCTAGCGGAAACAATTGGAAAAAAGTCAATTACATTTTATACAACGAATGTCAGCGAATT